TCTAGGCAACTTTCTAGTCGGTTTCATCTTCTTGAAAAAAATTCGATTGAAATCCAGCCCATCCTCGACAAAGTGGGGCAGTAAAGGGTAAATAGTGCCGAGAATTATTTTTGGAAAACTTCTTGAGAAGAAAAAGGGAGCCTACCTTCTCACAGGTTCTTTTGAGATTCCCAAATTTGCGTCTTGAATACTTCCACTGATCTCTTAAGTAGTGTAAATCAGTCTGACAGAGTCCAGAGCCCCTACCGTTATTGAGCAAGGATACCCTAGTAAAGTGACAGAGTTAGGACATAGTTTCCAATAATGCGTTTTTACTTGCGATCATACTGGGAACAACTTACGATCTCGGAGTAAGAAGACTACATTAATGCCCTTTAAGGTGTCCCCGATCTAATTTCGAAAAATTAGGCACGAATGAGGGGGAGGGGCTTTGAACCTACCACAATTTCCTATTCTCTTGTCACAGTGGGTGGGTGATAACTTTGCCTGTATGAACATGTCAGACCTATAATTGAAAAATGAAGCCGCTTTGATTTTATCATCGGTTATCACTATATCGTCCATCACGTGTACTGCTTTCTTCCTACCCATCAGTTCTAAGGCTCCTTTCTCAGAATACGGTCGTGCCACATAACAGAGTTTTCCCTAGTTATAGGGAGCCTATGCACGAGCTCATAAAATCTGAGCGGGACTACATTGAAGATCTACGAAAGTGCATACAGGTAATTTTTGAGTAATGATATTACCTATTCCTTTCTATTTTTTTGTTTTTCTCTTTTATTTTTTCCCTTGTTGTATTGCTTCTGTATTAGGCATGAATGAGGGGGAGGGGCTTTGAACCTACCACAATTTTCTACTCTCTTGTCACAGTGGGTGGGTGACAACTTTGCCTGTATGAACATGTCAGACCTATAATTGAAAAATGAAGCCGCTTTGATTTTATCATCGGTTATCACTATATCGTCCATCACGTGTACTGCTTTCTTCCTACCCATCAGTTCTAAGGCTCCTTTCTCAGAATACGGTCGTGCCACATAACAGAGTTTTCCCTAGTTATAGGGAGCCTATGCATGAGCTCATAAAATCTGAGCGGGACTACATTGAAGATCTGCGAAAGTGCATACAGGTAATTTTTGAGTAATGATATTAATTATTCCTTTCTATTTTTTTGTTTTTCTCTTTTATTTTTTCCCTTGTTGTATTGCTTCTGTACCTTGTGCATACATTTCATGAGCCATTTGGAGTGGGTGCTGAAAATAGGGTGTTTGTGTAAAGTGAAATTTTGTTGATTCGCGTACTCCTTGAGCTCCTAATCCTTGAACGTGATGTCGAATGATATTCGCATTTGCTCTTTCTAAATCAACAAAACAATGAACGTAGTGCGATCACTCAGATCCAGTTGCCTTTGCCAAGAACTTGGACTAGGGTACGCTAGTAGGTGTTAGTTCTCTGGTTTTTTACACCATATCCTTGAACTTGTTTCAGTTCAGTAAGCACTACAAAATTCTTGTTTCAGTTCAGTAAGCACTACAAAATTCCAGGTATATATTGCGGAATTCGATTCTGCTGACGCAAATTCAACACTTCCTCCTATCTTGAAAGATCGCCGCCAAGCGATCTTTGGTAACTATGAAAAGCTCTATGCTTTCCACTCAGAGTAAGCTCTTTTTCATTCAAGAAGGACGTCTTTCTAGTTGGAAATTTGATATTTTATTTTTTCCATTTCGGTTTGCTCATTCATTTTACGCCTTAGGAACTAATTGACCAAGTATCAGAATATTTCAGAAAGTTCTTCCATGAATTATCTAAGTACGAGGATGATCCAGAAGAAGTCGGATGTTCGTTCACAGTTTGGGTGGATTATCTAAATGAGCTGTATACAGATTATTGTGTAAATATGGAGCAAAATAACCATGTCGTTGCGTTACCTGAAGTGATGTCGTTTTTCGAGGTATTAATTAAGGAATGTCTATGGTTCAATCATTTAAATTTTTCTTGACTGGTTAGAAGTTTAGAATTGATTTTTTCAGTTTATCTTTTCAATATTTGCGTTTTTTCAGTCAATAAGGGAGAAGCATGGGTTGGAGCAGAATAATTCTTTGCATTCTATGCGAATAAAGCCAGTTCAGCGGTGTACGAGGTAGGAATCATTTATATGAGCAAATTTTATTGAGTAGAACTATTGGGGCACTGGTTCCATCCATTGAAATGGGAACAAGATCTACCTATATAGTCGATGTTACTGTCGTTCTCCTCAATTATTTATTTTCAGGTACAAGCTATTGATGGAGCAGTTACTAAAACACTGCAGTAACGTTGAGGAAATTCGCGTACGTTGATTCTTTAATATAAGTTAATCTGAATTTGCTACTCCTCATCTTAAGCCTTTAAATGTTCTAATGTTTTTTTTTTATTTTCTGTCCCGGTTATAATAGAAGTTTTTATGCTCTATACGTTTCAGGAGGCCTACGATGTCGTTAAAAGCCTGCCACGTCGTGTCAACGATATTATTCACTTCAACGGTCTCGAAAAAGACAAGGTATGGAGATTTTTCTATTCGTGCTGTTGTGAAAGATTTGGTGTGAACCCATTTTATCAACTGACACTTTCAAACGCTTTTTGAACATCTAGTAGTTTTTCTTCATCTCTCTTGCTCTCTGATTTGGATTAGCACTCAGTCAGAGATTGTTTTGCATGAAAAACTTGGTTTTTCGTTACATCAAGGCCTCATTAATGGCTAATTAGATTACTGGCACATCACCTTATGAATGGTTATTACTTCCAGCTGGGTGTCGTAGGTCCGTTCGTTATGCAAGATCTGTTGACCGTCTGGGAACCCAGAAACTACTTCAACAAAGCGAAAGGAAAGGATCGGCAGGTACTATTTTGTTGGCAGTGTATAGTATTGCATTATTAAGCATTACTTTTTCCCCCAATTTTTTTCTTTTTCCTTTTTTGCTTCTTCGCTATAATGAAAAACAACTCAGGTGTTCCTATTCGAACAAGCGATAGTAATTGCGAAAAAAGTTGAGCTGACACCGAAGAATGTGAAGTACATAATCAAGGGGAAACCAATCCCGGTGAGTTGAATGGTTGTTACTCCACATTTGAGCATTTGAACACCGTTGGGAGGGAGAAAACGAACAAAACACTTACATCCTCGTAAACGTTTAGGGATAATAGCAAATGATCACGTGATGTCAAGGTCGTCGTTTCTAAATATGAACCCTTTGAAAGTTCATTTAATATCCGTCATGCTAATTCTCCTACTTTGCTTCTCGGAGAAGGGTCTTTCCTCGAATTATGCGTTGTGCCCTATCTTTTTCTCAGTAACATACTACTACTTCATACTGTCAGTAAGTAACATACTTCCAATAGTATCAACTCCCCCCAAGGATTATTTTAACGAAAGAGAACTCTATCAGGAAATATGCTGTTTAATAGAAATGGCATCATCTCGAATGGGCAAAATAACTAGAGATTTTTCTCTTCTAAACGTGGGCATGTCGGCACCACTTCCGGGAGCTGCTTGAAACCACTTTGTTCTGACATTTTCTCAATTGTCGTTTACTGAATTTTAGATTTCATCCACTACCACTGTTAGACAGGAATATTTCTCTTTAATTTTTTACACAAAACTTGACTACAGCAGAGTTTGTTTTATACTGTGGCTAGGACTTACTTTAAAGATGTGTTTATAGTTAGCTGATGTTTCCGTCGTAGAACATGTGGAAGGAGACGCCTGCCGCTTTGGACTTCGTGTTGGTTTTTTTTTATTTCTGCTGCAATTACTGTTTCTGAAGGATTTCTTGTTATAATGGCTAAAGGTATTTCGAGGTTTACGCTTTCATTACAGATTGGGACGGTGGCTAGTAATGAGAATCGTATCGATTTACGAAGTGCTCCTCAACCGAAAGAAGAAGTAAAGATTATGTGGGTGAAGCGGATCCGCGAACTCACTCAAACCTTACTACCTCTGAGTCAGTTCTTTTGAAACTCACTGTCCCTCTTTCGTTTCTTTTATTCAACATTTTGACTATTTTTAGTGATTCAGGAATGAACTATAGTGTTCTGATTTAAATATGAAGTGTCATCATCATAATTCCTTACTCAGCCAATTCTTTGAATTCCTAACTGCTGAAGCGGCTTCTTTTTAGATCTGGGTGTTGGTCTCGAGGGTGTACCATCGAGCGGCTCTTCAGGACCGGCTTCGGTCTCGACTCGGTCTTCGAATGCATCGACTAATTCTGTGGAATATGAATCCAGGGACACAGATGAAACTTCATCGCTTGAGTCGCAGCGCTTGTCGCTGCAAAGCATGGAAAGTAACCAGGTATGAACTTATTTGAACTTTAACTACTCTTCATTGAGTAATTCTACGAGTGTGCAAAATGCCAATGCTCTTTCCTTCGCATTCAGCGAGGCTATCATTACAACTCGTTGTCAATAATTATATTGTGTGCATTTCTTACCATAATTGAATCGGATACCGTTCTTCGCTGATTATCAAGTCGAGGACTTTCTTCCAAGGCGTTCTCCAAAGCTTCACTTTTCTGCAAATGTCTGAGGTGGTTCCATGGCCACCCTTCTATCGTGCATCTCTTTCCTGATCTGCCTTTCCTTCATTACCAGTTCCTCAGACCTTTCCGAAGCTTTGTTTGGTTAAATTGTTTCGTTACTTTCTGCCTTTTGGTTTCACTTTTTTTTACTGGGTCTCTAGACAGTTCTTTTTGATGCCCCCTCCGTAATTTACCTGCGGACGTCGGAAGGCTTACATTCGAAATGGATGCATTCTATCCGCACGGAGTTTTTCGCAGAAGTTGGAGAGTGGAATTTTTCCATATTCGTTGGATACTTTTCCTTATTTTTTCCACTACTGTCAACCTCTAAAACATCGAATTCAGCTTCATGAACCTGTCCTATACAGTAGTTTTCAGAGTTCAAATTATCTTACTTTTATATCATGGTAGGTTTAGCAGCATTACCATTGACAGTGATATTAGGCTAGTTCAAAAGAATCTTAACAAAGGCAACTGTGCCAAGGGTTTTTATCAACGATTACGAGCTCGCAAGATTGATTGTCCTCAATGAGCGATAGCTTGTATCGATGGCTCGAAAGAGTTCTTAATTTCACTACTGGTCTTGAAGAATCCTATTCCAAGGGATCGTTTCTGGTACTCTCCTAAATTTCACTATCCTAGAACACGCCCGTCTATCGTCGGGCATATTTAGTTACCCTTAAACCTTAACCAACCAAGTCTGCTGCCTACCGTTTGACTTCGTTTTAATATATGAAATGGGAGCTCCTGGGTGAGCGAGGAATCCCTCGGATCTTGATGGTCAGAATCCGCTTGCCCTCGAGTGTATTTGCTGCAAAATGAGTAAGGTGCCTACTTGGAGTGCAGGATTGCAGAATGTGTGTCAGGAGCCTCGTTTCCACGATGCCATCAATTTTCACATTTCCTGCAGTTTATCATTATTTGACTGGCTAAAAAGTGATTTAAAAGTAGTGGAAGTGGGTTTTCTGACATTCTGTCGACCATCGACAAACAGTCGTGCAGTAGTGTTGATGATTAGTTTACTTGGTGACCTGCCAGTTCACATGGCGGAAATTGAGTTTCTTCATAGTGATCAAACTGAATCTATCAATGCCTCTAACGAGGTGGAAGTTCTGACCCAGGTAATTCCTCGAACAGAAGCTTTCTCTCAAGTTCCGTGTTATGTTTATGATGTGCCTACTTTTTTCGAGAGACTTAGGGCAGTCTGAATAGTTTTTCAGTGAAGTGAGAGGAAAAAATGTGTGAATGCATGCGTTTTATTGTTCTCCAAGGCACTACATAGCTAAATAACTGTTTCCTTTATATTACTATGTACATTTATTTGTAACTGCAGTAAGCTGATTGGAGGGCCCTCAAACTTGCGGAATCGGCTCTTCCTGACATAGCTTTCCGTGTTGTGGAGGGGTGTTAGCACTAAAAGTCCCGTGAAATGTTGCGTTATCGGCATCACCTGTTATGCCTTCGGCCATCAATCGCACCAAGCAGGCTTCAACATACTTTTATTTCTCCCCGTCATGCAGTCATGTATTCCAGTGGACATTTCTCTCTTGAGACAGACACGAGGCCTGAAATTTCGGATGTTCAAAGTCTTTAGAAAGATGTTTGATCATTGGCCTGGCAGCCGTCATGTAAATTATTTAGCATTTCAAGCATTCCTGTTGGTACTCGCATTGATCCATCACGAAAGCACAATGATTGTCTGGCCAACTTGATTTTCGATTTCTTTGCGAACTCGATAGCGCCCATGATTTACGTTCAGTGACGTAGCTAGCAATATCGTGACCCCTTCCCCGCATACCCTTCAGTGGAGATATCCTCCTGCAGTAGTGGTAATGGGTGTAAAAGGGAAAAAGTTGTGACAGGCTCTACACAGATAATAGGTAAAGGCAATGGAAAACTTATTAGGTGGAGGATTGGTCTGTTGTGTAGGCTGAATGTGACATAGAAAGTACTTCAGGGCTTCTCGATCAGATTGATTCACAGCAGTAGTAAGAAGTGAGGAACTGAATAGGCTGGTGCGAGAAATTTCATGGGCTAGTCCCGCTCCATAAAAACCAAAAAAGCTGTAGTTTGTGCTCCGATCGATCCAGGTTGGAGATGTGCCTTTGTATTCTGATTCAAAATTGGCATGGCATTCACATGGGTTTATCGGCTGTACAGTGATTTGTTACGGGGAGATGACCGATGTCCAAACGTATTGTTCATTGAATCGTGGGAGGGATATAGGCGACATGGAGAGAAGGAAACTTAGTCTTTCACTAGACAGATATCGGTTCTTCGTCTTTGGAAGATCCGCTCTATTACACGGCACATTCGAAGCACCGCTGGGCCGGTCATCTACTTCATCGAACAGATGGCAGATGGAGTCTTTTAGTCATAGGGTTGCTTTCAAGAAACAAAATAAGACCATTAGGACGTCTGCCGACCTCGTGGGCCAATTCGCTTTCCTAAATTCCAGAGAAACTGGCCTACATTGGATGCAAGTCGCGAAAGATCAGGTGGTATGGTAGAGCTGTGGTACCCGCTAAGAAGACCGCTTGCCGATGGGCCATGAAACATTCAAATTAATATATATGTTAGCCCTCGGCTTGATTACCAAACCCCACATGCTGGCGCCGCCATTTGGCTCTATCCCACCTCCTCTCGTGCTTCTATTCATAATCTGGAGTACTTCTCACTGCTATATCACTTTTTGTACGAATAATACAAAAAAGTTGTAGAGAGAAGTGAGGGAGGTTCAAGCGCGGAGGTGAATGTGTAATGGATGATGGTCTTGTCGGAGCGCACGCCTGTCGTTTGAATGTGCGACACGTGTCGAGCCGACTGAATGCACAACTACAGTTTGTTAGCAGTTACTCATTACACTAATCAATTCTGCTCATTCATCTAGAATTTCCTTGGAAAGGTTTGGCTATGCGGCGGTTCTGCTGCTGCCTGGCACAGGTTGGTTGTCTTGGTCAATTGAAGGAGTGTGTGGAGAAGAGCTACTAACAATTTATTTAGCCTCTTTTGTTAAATTTGTAATGGTTGCAGTCATCCGCATGTCCGTCGCTTCCTATTCCTTCTGCTTTGTTCTTAGACATATTTGATCCTTTGGAACCTAAATTCTAAACTCAGTGGTAGTGAAATGAATTTACACAAATTAAGCTGGATATTTCAACATTTTGGGTACGAGTGTAGGCAATTTGGGAACAAAATTCAAGTGAATCAGATGAGCTTGGGAGCTCTATTTGAAGAGAGCGTTTGTGAATGAAGAGGTGTAACTAATCAATTCTTACAAACTCCAATAAAGTCACACCAGTAAATTGGATCTGTGGAAACCGGCGCTGTGACATCGGGCTCCACGCTTCAATTGTTTTAAGTTGGAAAGGTTTGAATGCTTCGGAAGATCGGAGTGCTCGCTTGAGAAATGATCACAAGATAGATGTTTTTGAGTTTGTTTAGTTTTTGTTTGTTTAGTAAATTTGCAATTTCAAACAAAATGACAGTCCACAGCAGTGATCCATTACTACTTGAGTTTGTTTTCTATTCAGTACCCAGGCAAATAGGGATTATATTGATTTATTTCTTCTATTCTGTGCAAGTTCCGCTAGAAAAATGGAAGAGGTGGCAGAAGGATCAGTCATAAACCATGTTCGCCTCTGAATATGGCCAATATTTTGTGGTTTAATTGGTTTAAGAAATACTCATAAATCTTTTCTAAATACCATCATTATCCATGAACCAGTGAATGGGTAAGTACAGAGTTCTCCTGCTGTAATGGACATTAAAGAATGAAGCGAAGCTAGTCAGAAATAATCACTCGGTATGAAATTTCAAATGATAATTCACAAAGAAGCAGATTTGAAATTAAAAAGTTCTCCTCAAGAAAATTCATTTCTCTTTCAATTTTTTTATTCGAGAAATTCATTTTCCTTATTCACAACGATGGCTGTTCCATTGAGAAAACTGCAATACTAACAGGATTTTCTTCGGAATCTGGATGAAGTCTGTTCGCATCAAGCGTCATTCTTGAAATCTTACCATGTGTTTCAGTGGAGTTAGGAAAGGGTTTTTACACTTCCAATAAAGCTAGCATTATGAGCCTCAGTTTTGAATTATGTGATATTGATAGAAATTCCAAAGTGTTCAAGAATAATCCTTGAATAGTTTAGCAAATTCAGCGCATATACGCGGAATCTGGGGTACTCCCTACCACAACCTGAGAAGCAGCCCGCTTGACTGTCTTAATTAATCTGGGAAGAATGAGTTGGTATTGTGGTAGTTTAGAGGCGTGAAAATGTTAAAAGGACATGGTCCTGCAAGACAGTGATTGATATGACCTCTGCAAGTCAGTGTTTGAATGAGAGTGCCTTCACTTGGGTGAATATCTTGCCAATTCTGAATTGGCGTTGGATATAGAAGACAATGGACAGCATCAGCCTTACCTAATCGGGGAACTGAACAATTTTGCGGCTGTTTTGGCTTTCTGATTGCAGAGCATTTACCATGTATGGATGACTACCGAGTTCCTTTTTATTGTTGTTTTAGAACATCTTTTTACTTTGCTACTACTCTTTCTTGTTTTTTCCTCAATATTGAAGCTATCTTGTAAAACTAGTGGAATAAGATACTTATTTAATGTTAATTTTTAATATTTTGCCTTATAAAAACGATCCTACGTAAGAGTTATGAGGTTTTTCCATATTTCTACGTAACTGTCATTTAATTACTTCAAAAATTAACAGTGCTAGTGATAATTTTTTTGTTCATTCGAACAAGGCCGGTATATCTGAATTGTTTTCAGCAGCAGCCATCGGAACATTGGATCGTCAGCGCGGATTTCGATGACAAAGTTGCTGGGCATTTATGTGTTCGTAAAGGAGAGCGAGTCGAGGTATGCATTTTCAGTATTCCCTTAGCTATAGTTAGCATTTCTGGACATAAATCCTTGGGACAGGTTGTTCGCTGAAGCGTTTATTCCGGGTAATGGTCGTAAATATGATTCTTTTTTTGTCAAGGGTGGTTGGATGGGTGGACTGAGGGGGAGACAATTTTCTTCGGTAAAAGCATCTTCAAAACTTGACGAAGTAACTATTTTTGTCGAATTGATCAGTTTCTAAGCAGATTCACTTGCGTTATGGAACAAAAAGTAGTTTTCTCAAGCATATGGTAGATATTTTTAGCCTCATCTTCGAAGTAGGCTGTNCCCATAGTATTGGGAAGTTTCTTGGAATGACTCTTGAAACTTCATCGAGTAGCCGGAAATCATGAGAGTTCCGAAAAATTTCGCTCGCTCTCAGTTTCTAATGAGGTTCCTACGGCTGAGCGAAATTCCAGCCTAATTTCGTGACTTTATCACTTTCTTGAGAATGCAGGCTGTCAAACGATTTCCATGTTGGTGTGACTATGACCAACTTTTTTTTTCCAACTTGCCAAACTGCAACTTTTTTTCAAACTACAATGGTGAATAGCCCGATTGCAGAGCTGTAGAGCAGAGGCTTTAGGATTTTCATAAAAGCTTTTCTGCATTCACTGGTTCGCATACTAATGAACCTTCAAAATGCAATATCCATGTTGATGTGGCTCAAAAGCATTGTTGTTATTGATGGAACGCGGTGTCCTTTGTGGGAAATTCAGCTTGTTGATCACAGTTCATGTTTTAGAGTATTCAGTAGTCCATATGGAGTAATTCTCTGTATAATTCCTAGTGTTAGTTAGTNCCAGGGTTTGCCGCGCAGTTGTTCTCTTGGGCTTTCCTTTAAGTCGACTTGTCACCGTCTTATTATTAGAGTGGCCCGGAATTTATCACGATGTGATAAATTAAAGGGCCTGATGGTAAAGGTGCGACTATCATAGCAGTTAAGCCAATCTCGATACATGGATTAGTGATTCTTACACAGGCTCAATACAAGAACTTGCTCGAAACTTTAACTGGGTCTGTAGTAGTTTGTAATATGCTGATTATTCTTCTGAGGAATTACATGAAGGCTTTATCAGTACTCCTCAGAATGTCTTCTATATGAGTGAAAAAACTATTTTTCTATTAATAGCGGATAGTTAAGCTGTATATGTGTCAACTCGGGCGTTAATGGCTAATATGAGGGGATGAGGGGATGATTAACAAGCATGTGCTGTGTTCTTTTTTTATCTAAAAATAGCTTTACGACATTTCGCACCAGATGTCGCCGGGAAATATAGCGATTCACTTCTGGTCAAAGTGTCTTGGGAAATTTACGGTTATCTAGATGAATAAGAAGCTTTCGACTCCATATTTCTTTTTGTTCCCTCTATCTAAAGTAGTAGGGGCGGAGGTGGGGTAGTGGAAAGTGGCGACTATATCACACGCACGGTCAGTGGTTCGAATCCCGGTTCGATGCCCGCCTTGGCCAACCGAGCCTTCCATCCCTCCGGGGTCGGT